GCGGGGGGGGGGGAGAGCAGGGTGAACTGGGAGGGGAAGATCCAGGAAACTTGGTGGCTCATTTGAATCTGCCTCTGCCTGCAGAATGGCCATGGAAAAAGCTTACTGTTCAGTAATGCTACCAACATATTTATATGTTCTCACTATATCTAATTCTCAATGTGGCCAAATCCATGGATACTTCAATCCAGAGAAGATACAAGAAAGATTTTGGGGCTTTTGGTGGTGCCTGGCCCTCAATTCACCCGTTTGAGCGTGGCGAGGGTGAGGGCCTTTTCCATTCTAGACCCGACCTGGTGGAATGCTTTGTCTGAAGAGACTTGTGCCCTGTGGGGCTTGTCTACATTTCACAGGGAAGGTAAGACAGAGTTTTTCCACCAGGCCTTCCACTAATGTAATTTTGGTGGACTCTGCCAACAATGCTGCCAGTTTTTATGCCAGAAGCTGAATGTTGAGCCTTCACTGGACTTTACTGAAATTGTTTTTATCATCATCATCATCATCCAAGCCCCATTCTGGGGAAGGGAAGGGATAAAAATCTAATAAAATAAAAAATAAACAAACCCTCCCCAAGATAGATCAAGAAGGGTGGCTGTGTTAGTCTGTAGCAGCAGAAAAGAGCAAGAATCCAGTATCACCTTAAAGACTAACTAAATTTGTGGTAGGGTACAGGTGCTGCTGTTAGTATTTTGGGGGTTTCTAGAGAAGAGTAAGAGTCCAGCGTCATGCGGCACACTCTGGTCTCAAACTGCTGAACTACCGACCTTCCACAGCCTGCACCTCAGCATCTTAACCACTTGAGCCACCGCAGCGGCTACTGAAGCAGAAATCCTGAAATCCAGATCTCCAGTGGCCAGTCAGAGGCCCTGATGTGCCAAAGCCTCACTTGGCCCTGCCTACTTTTGAAAAACACTGGGCAGGTGCCAGAAGAGGTGTCTGTGGGTACCATTCGGGGAACCTGTGGTTTTAAGTTTGTTTTTTAATTAAGATGAAAGATGTCACGATCATCAGAAACATGAAATGCAGAGGCAAAGTCATAAGACATACATTACAAAATAATTCACACTAGTCCAGCATGTTTATGAAGTCAATTTACTCCAGGACAACTATCTCCTAAATAAACAAGAGTTCCAAAATTTGGAAAAAACTGAGAGACGTGAATCTTAGAAACCACCCCCTACACATACACACATCCCTGTGTAAATACATTTCATTCTGGGCTGAGCAATAATTTAAGCCAGGGGTTCTCAGACTGAAGGCAAGGAGCCAAAAGTGGGTTGCCGCCATCTCTCAGGTGAATTATGAGGCCAGAACGGGTGTCAGACTCGGGCATCCGGCATGGGGCGGGCTGCCTGAATTGGTTGCTTCCTCCATCCTTGATTTACACTGCTTGTAGTCTGTATCCTTATCGCTGCCCTCGCCTGCCATTGAATTCCTTAAGGGGGAGAGAGAGTGTGTGTAGTTGGTTAGGGAGGCTTGTTTGGTAATTTTCCTAAGGAGCCCCAAGACATCTTTCACATGAGAAATGTCCTTGGCAAAGACTGTGCCTGGCTAGATAGTGCCTGTATATCTTTCAGAGTCATTGTAGTAAGGCTGATTTGGGGGGTTTACTTCTATCTTGCTTTCCCCCACCTTTGCAAATCAGTCCTAACAAAGAGCTTGAACCCACAGCATCTCATATCTCTAAATAAAGCATTCACTGCTAAAGTAGCAAATGGGGTTCAATGTGGCCAAGTGCAAAATGATGCACACTGGAGCCAAAAATCCTAACTATAAATATACATTGATGGGGTCCAAACTGGCAGAGACTGACCAAGAGAGAGATCTTGGAGTCGTAGTAGAATAACTCACTGAAAATGTCGAGACAGTGTGTGACTGCAATAAAGAAGGCCAATGCTATGCTGGGGATTATTAGGAAGGGTATTGAAAACAGATCAGCCAATATCATAATGCCCCTATATAAATCAATGGTGAGACCTCATTTGGAATACTGTGTGCAGTTCTGGGCACCACACCTTAAAAAGGATATTATAGCTTTGGAAAAAGTGCAGAAAAGGGCAACTCAAATGATAAAAGGGTTGGAACACTTTCCCTATGAGGAAAGGTTAAAGCGCTTAGGGCTCTTTAGCTTGGAGAAAAGACGACTGAGGGGTGACATGATCGAGGTTTATAAGATTATGCATGGGAAAGAGCAGGTAAAGAAAGAGGTACTTTTCTCCCTTTCTCACAATACAAGAACCCGTGGGAAGAGATTGGATTTATACCCCACCCTTTGTCAAGTAGCCCTGTCATGATGTTGGAATGTGGAGGGGGCACCTCCCTCACACCAGCTCATCCTGTCTAGCTCTTCACTGCTTATTTCTGCACTGACCTTGTTCTTCCAGCTGCCGCATTACCCAGCCTGGGAATCTTAACAGTTTGGGCACGCAACCCTTTGCTTGCCCGCGTGCGTGAAAAGTAACCATTGGCCTTAGCTTATTGGGGGGGGACACGTTTGATTTTACTATAAGTCAGTGGCCATCATATTGCCAGTCAATTCTGACACAAGCTGTATACTCGTTCTTAGTAATGGACTATCATTAAACACTTATCTTCTGAAGAAGCCTTGGTGTGTGGTGTGATCCTGCTAAGCAACCTGACAAAGTGTCAGGTTGC